CCAGCGCAGCATCCCCTTAGAGTCGAGTGCTCGCCTCTGCAACAAAAACAGATTTAATTGAATATTAATTAGTTACACGACTATGGAGGCATTAATGAACTCGATTCCAAAAGAATTTTCAGTTTTGTAAAAAAGGATTTCTAATTATAAATACAAATTAATGAAGCTCACCTTCGAGCCGACTCAGAAAGGCCCGAGCCGAATCCTCTGGCGCGGCATCCCCTAGACATCGCATCTCCCAAAACCGCGTGATTGCGTCTGCTCTATTGAATCTCTGTGACAGAAATTTAATTTAATTTAATAATTTAATAATTTAATATTAATTAGTTATACGCGACAGCAAAACGAGGAAAAAAAATTGTCGTAACGGCACACTCGAATTCCTTTCCAATGCGTAATAAGAAATAATTAAATTATAACTGAATAAAGAAGTAATACTCGATTAATTAATGGATAATAATATTAATATCTGATCGACAACCGTATAATAATATCCGGTAGTATCAATTAATTACACACGGCAGCAAGACGAGCTAAAGAAATCGTCGTAACGGCACGCTCAAGTTGCTTCCCAATATGCAATAAAGATAATTAAATGACAACCGAATAAAAAAGTAATAATATTCGAATAATAAATGGATGATAATATTTGATCGGCATTGAGAGGAACTCGATCGCGACGTTTCTCCATCTAAAAAGTAAAAAAATATATGAAACGCGGTAATTACCCGCTGCGGTAAAGCCTACAATATCTGCTCACGTGATAAGTACACGTCTCAGTTTGTGTTAATTATTGCCTTAGTTGTGGCGAAGTCAAAAAGCGGTAGTAAAAATCGGCGCGAAATAATTTAGAAAATAACGCGGCAGCTCCCGCGATACGCTCGCCTCGGCGGCTGATAGCGATATGGCGTGATGCTCAAGCACGTGCTCGCGCACGCGTGTTTACATGACCCGGCCGCCCCCCTCCCCCAAGCGCCGCTCACTCAGCAGCCCGAGCGGACCGTTTAGACAGTCGGTTTAGTGGAGTTTAGAGTTTTTGTTAAAGCCGTTAACCAGGTATTGTTATTACCGATTATTCGATCATTATTATTCCGTTATTATCTACTCGCGGATATTATCATATGATTATCGAGCAGATATTATTATCACTACCATTTAATATTCGAGTATTATTACTACTTTATTCGATTATTATTTAATTGATTCGGTTATTATTTAATTATTGCTATTACGCATAAGAAAGCAATTCGGGCGTGCTGCTACAATTTCTTTACCTCGTCTTTTCTTTACCTCTGTTCAATTATTATCGTCATTATTGTTATTCATTGTTATTACCGATTATTCGATCATCGTTATTCAGTTATTATCCGCGGCTATTATCACACAATTGTCCAACAGATACTATTATAATTGTTATAAAAAAGTAATAAGATTCGAATATTAAATGGTAGTGATAATAATACCTGACAGACAATCGTGATAATAGCAGCGAGCGAATAATATCTGAATAACGATGATTGAATAATCGGTAAGAACAATGAATAACTAAACAATAACTGATTAAAGACGAGGTAAAGAAATTGTCGTAACAGCACGCCCAAGTTGCTTTCTTAGGTGTAATAACAATAATTAAATAATAAATTAAATAATAATCGAATAAAGAAGTAATAATACTCGAATATTAAATGGATGGTGATAATATTTGATCGGCATTGAGGAACTCGATCGCGACGTTTCTCTATCTAACAAGTAAAAAAGTAAATGAAACGCGGTAATTACCTGTCGCGGTAAAGCCCGCAACACATGCTCGCGTGAGGAGTACGCATCTTAATTTGTCTTAATTATCGCCTCAATTGTCGCGAAGTCGAAACGCGGTATTAAAAATCGGCGCGGAATAATCTAGAAAATAACGCGGTAACTTTCAAAGCGTTCGCTTCGACGGTTGATAGTGCTATGTTGTGACGCTCGAACACGTGCTTCACGCACGCGTGTTTACATGACCGGAGCGGGACGTTACGATGGTCGGTTTACCTAGCCTTTGTTGAGCCTAGAGTTTTTGTTAGAGCCGTTACCCAAGTATTGTTATTACCGATTATTCAATCATCATTATTTCTTTATTATCCATTCGCGGATATTATTGTCGAGCAGATATTATTGTATCACTACTATTTAATATTCGAGTATTATTTCTTCTTTATTCGATTATTATTTAATTTATTTGGTTATTATTTAATTATTACTTTTACGCATAGGAAAGGAGCTCGGGCGTGCCGTTACGACGATTTCTTCATTTTTTTTCAATTATTATCGTCGTTGCGATAAAGAGTTGTGTGGGCTCTGATAAAACTACACACACACACACACTCTCTCTCTCTCTCTCTCTCTCTCTCTCTCTCTCTCTCTCTCTCTCTCTCT